TTTGTGTCTATGTATAATTAATGCATTTGAGAAATTGCTGTGTATAAAATCCTTTTTGTGTTCATAAACAGGTTTTTTAAAACTTCTGCAAATTTCCTGACATATTGTAACGAACTGCTTCATTGGTTAAGAAGCGTTTTTTTTTTTTTTTTTCTCTTTATTTATATTGTCAACACATATTTCATTCTTATTCGAATTTTAACACACACACACAATAACAATAAGAGTTAAAACCCAACCTAAACAAATCAATTATGGCATCTCTACAAATATTCTTAAATGTCTATAATTGGTAACAGAAGCCAATCACTATAATCTTAACCGTTTATACCAACGGCTTTCCTTACTTCATTCTACAATTCACTCTCGTGTAGTCATGTGTGACGTCATGAGATGCTGTGCGATTTTCGCTTCTAGCGTCTTATATGCGCGTGTTTATCGTTGCTTAGTGATTAACTATGTAAACAATGACAGACTATCATCACTGTCGTGTCCGTATATTGTTTAATATGTTTGTGATTTACATCTTTGATAATGGCTTAAGTAAGCCGAAAGCTTAGATTATATTTAAAAAAATATGGATCAATATTGTGAATTTCTTTCTTCGTTTAATGATAATGTTATCAAACTTATCAGATGTTACGAACAAAATTTACATAAAATAAATAGACAACACTTGTCTATATTATTTAATGAAACGTATATATATATATATATATATATATATATATATATATATATATATAAAAGTGAACATGGACAACACTTAGAGGCGATAGTCTGTTTCATGCTAGATGCAATCGTCAGGCTACGACACGTGGCCTTACGATTGCATCTAGCATGAAACAGAATGTCACCTCTAAGTGTTGACTTCTATGTTGACTTTTATATTTACACACGCTCTATCTCTGATATTGAGAATTTTATCCCATAAATATAGCACATCTTGAGACTATATTTCTTTATATATATATATATATATATATATATATATATATATATATATATATATATAAGTTTCATTAAAGACGTCAAACAAGTTATAATATTACGCTTTTTATTTTTTTTTCTATTCGAATATTTTTTTTCTTTTCAACACACATTGTGGTAAAAAAAAAACAAACACTTGTTCTAACACAAGAGAAATTAAATAAAAAGCTTAACCGTAGTAACTTATCTGTCGAAACATATAAATGAGGGATTGCTACCTAAATACACAATATATATATATATATATATATATATATATATATATATATATATATATATATATACAGCGTAGCGGCTATCGATGCGGAAAGAGTTGGTACTCTAGAAGTTTAAGTACAAACGAGAGCTTTGTAAAGAGAGTTTAACGAGAGGGCAGACTGGCCTCTTGATTCTTGGTTGACAAGAGAAGAAAATATTGAATTCAAATTGGCTGGTTGCGGGGCAAGCAACCCCATCCCATAGTATTTTGTCCATTTCATATCTGGGTCAGTGAGTTCGTTGAGGAGCCATCAGCAGCTCTCGATTATCGTTTTCGGCTTCAATGCTGACATGGTCACGTGAAAGAAAGTCAATTAAAAGAGTCGACAACACACAATTAATTCTTAGAGTTACGAAGCAGAGGAGCCATTAACGAAATTAGTTCATCTTCTCTTCTTTGTTTTTTAATTGCGTGTGAACATGTAGCCTTTCTAAAAACTCAGACTATTATTTTTTTTTTGGTTGTTCAACCAATATTATCCGCTTATCCCCTGTCAAAATTTTGGGAGCGAACTGTGGGACATTGTGAAATTATGTTCTCAAATCGTGTCACATATTCAAGCGACCGTCCTTTCTACGGCTTCATTACGTAGCTGACTCACCGCGCTATGCTCTTCATTACAAGAGCCATATCAGATATAAAATGGCATACCGCTGCCATACCTAGGCTGGAGCTACTCAGCCCTGACTTTCCAATCTTGATAGAATTCAAAAAGATCTACACTGTCTTCTGCTTTATATTTTTGCAGATCAAACTTGACAGGAAAGCATGAAGCCAAGAGAGACTTCCACAAGCAAGAAAACTGTTAGCATAGAACTTACGGTTACATTTCGCTAATTGAACTCTCAATTCATAAAGTCTAGATATCATAGCGAAAGTTCACCGGAACAGTTACTATGAAAGTATTCATTAAATAGGCACAGGGAAGCTACATTACGCTCGTGGGAAAGAGACTGAAGCCGAGATGCCAGGTCAAGACTAATAACATTGCAGATTCTTTAGATTTTATCAAGAATTTTTAAATATATAGCAAGAGCAGCAGACCGGATGTGACAGCAATATGCTGAGCATGAACGAATAATATACTTATAGATACGTAAGATAGATTCTGGGTGAAATTGGTGAGACGTTTCACCATTTTCAAGAAGAGTGGACCGCTTGAGGTACAGTACATCATAAGGCGGGCAGCATGAGGTACAGTAGATCATAAGGCTGGCAGCATGAGGTACAGAAGACCATAAGGCTAGCAGCATGAGGTACGTACATCATAAGTCGGGCAGCATGAGGTACACTACATCATAAGGCAGGTCGCATGAGATATTGTACATCATAAGGCATGTCGATTGAGGTACAGTACATCATAAGGAGCATCGCATGATGTACAGTACATCATAAGGCGGGCAGCATGAGGTACACTACATCATAAGGCGGGCAGAATGAGGTACACTACATCATCAGTCAGGTCGTATGTGATATAGTACATCGTAAGGCGGATCGCATGACGTACAGTACATCATAAGGTGAACAGCATGAGGTACACTACATCATAAGGCAGGTCGATTGAGGTTCACTACATTATTAGGCGGGCAGCATGAGGTAATGTACATCATAAGGCAGCCCGCATGAGGTACACTACATCATAAGGCGGGCAGAATGAGGTACACTACATCATCCGTCAGGTCCCGTGAGATATAGTACATCATAAGGCAGATCGATTGAGGTACAGTACATCATAAGTCGGGCAGCATGAGGTACACTACATCATAAGGCAGGTCGCATGAGATATTGTACATCATAAGGCAGGTCGATTGAGGTACAGTACATCATAAGGCGGATCGCATGACGTACAGTACATCTTAAGGCGGACAGCATGAGGTACACTGCATCATAAGGCGGGCAGAATGAGGTACACTACATCATCAGTCAGGTCGCATGAGATATAGTACATCATAAGGCGGATCGCATGACGTACAGTAAATCATAAGGCGAACAGCATGAGGTACACTACTTCATAAGACAGGTCGATTGAGGTTCACTACATCATAATGCGGACAGCATGAGGTACACTACATCATAAGGCGGATAGCATGAGGTACACTACATCATAAGGCGGGCAGAATGAGGTACACTACATCATCAGTCAGGTCGCATGAGATATAGTACATCATAAGGCGGATCGCATGACGTACAGTACATCATAAGGCGAACAGCATGAGGTACACTACTTCATAAGACAGGTCGATTGAGGTTCACTACATCATAAGGCGGGCAGCATGAGGTACTGTACATAAGGCGGACAGCATGAGGTACACTACATCATAAGGCGGGCAGAATGAGGTACACTACATCATCAGTCAGGTCGCATGAGATATAGTACATCATAAGGCAGGTCGATTGAGGTTCACTACATCATAAGGTGGGCAGCATGAGGTACAGTACATCATTTCAGCAAAACAATACGAGGTTACACACTCCTATTTTGACTAAGGAGAAGTTCAAACAGATGGATGGTGTTGAGATTTTTCCACATCCACCATTCAGTCCCGATGCTGCTCCGGGTGACTATGGCGTAATTCCGATCAATGGTATACGTCCTCAGCGATTCAACACTTTTACAGTTTTTTTTTTTATTCAAAGCCAACGAACTGGAATCTGGGATAGATTCGGATGCTGGCTGAAAAATCTTGGCTCCCACTGATAAAAACAATTAAAGGGACACATCTCTAACTTTCAATAGCCCCATGTTCAAATAAAAAAATACAGTTCTCAAACTATAGTATTTCAAAATAAAATTACCCGTACACTATTTACATTATTCGGACTATTGTCCTCATCTTTGTCGCCATGTTTTC